CCAGCTGTGTGATTTGGAGCAATTTAAAAAAAATCACTCTAAGCCTCAGTTTTCCTAACAGTACCTTTCCCTCAGGGTTGTTATATTAAAAGAATTTATCCCTGTCACTTTCCTAACCGTGCACCCAGTCCATAAGAAGAATTCAATGATTATCTGCAGGGCACCTAGGTGGCTCAGTTAATTGTCTGCCTTCAGCTCAGGTCATGATCCCAGGGTTCTGGGACTGAGTCCCTCATGGGGCTCCTTCCTCAGAGGGGAGCCTGCTTCTCCCTCACCCTCTGCCTGCCATTCCACCTGCTGTGTTCTTTCTCTCTCTCCCCCACTCTGTGTCAAATAAATAAATAAATAAATAAGATCTTGTAAAAAAATAAAATAAATCAATGATTATCTGCTATTGTAACTGTTATCCTCCTAGCCACCCTGTTGCCTGTTCCCTCTGGCTAGGGAAAGCTCCTTCTTCCACCTCAGTGTTACTAGCTCCAACCCACTGACCCCCCAACCATGCACACGTGGCTATCTAATGAGCAGTATGTCTCCTTTCCTCCCTAGCACCCTGGTGTCAAAGGGTGGCCTGAGTTCCCTATTCTGACCTATCAGGGACCTCGTGTCACCTCCTGTATTTCGGGTTTACCCCCAGATGGCAAGGCTCAACCTCCGTGTAAGCACACAAGCCCACATACAAAGACCTAGCTAACTCTTAGTTTACTCGTTCATAAATGGGCATAGTAATCGTGCCTGTCTCTTAAGTGCTCATGGGTGTTACGTGAATAGCAAGTACGAGGCAAAGAGTGTTGTGGCTATCGCTTACTGAGTACTCACTCTTCATCAGATTTTTATACCTGGATTTCTGTGCTTTGCCTGGGGGTTGCAAAAAGCCTTCCCACCTGGGAGTAAGCCAAAAACACAGTACCCGACACCAGGCTCCTGACAGATCCAATCAGGGAACTCGGGCCACCAGACCGCCTTGTTAGGGAGTAGGATTGACAACCATTTTACAACAGGGGCCTGAAGCAGAAAGGAGACAAAGTGCCCACTAGACGGACACACAGGCTCAGTTAGGGGGAGAGGGGAGAGATGACTGATGGTGATACCCACTGGGGCAGGGAAGGGGGCTCTCCTTGCCTAGAGACAGAGGAGAATAAGCAGAGAGCTGAGAGCTTGTTGACACGTGAGTGGAGTGGGCCTATGGGTAGAGCCAGCCTGCGTACCCGAACACGGGTACATCTGCGTCAAAAGCCCATGCTCTTGATCATCACAGTATTAACGCCTGGCACAGAGTAGGTGCTCAATGAGTATTTGTGTAATGGAGGAATTTATAGTGCTGCCTCTTTCTGGAAAGGGTTCTCTCTCCATCTTCCCCTGAGCCCATCCTTCAAAGCCCGGCTCGGATGCAGCCTCCCACTCAGCTGATGTACCCTCTCTACATTGCTCTTGGGTGGGGAAAGCCAGAAGCATTAGTGCTGGGATGAGGAAGTGTGGGGCACAAGGATGGGCCAGCTATTGTGGAGCTGGAGGAAAGACTCTTGAGTTTTGCACTGGATCTGAAGTTGCTGCAAGGACCGGATACACTGATAACAAAGTAACTCACACTGGGTTCTGGTTACTCATAACAGTGAATTCCAATCACTTAGCAACCACGTGTGGGGAGGAGGATTAGAAGCCATTTCAGGGCAGGGGACTGGGAGGAAAGGGGGACAAAATGTCTGCCACTGACCAACAGTGTTTGCACACTGAGGAGGAGGAGCAGAGGGAAAGTGAGAGGAGCTCATTCTGAGTTAAGAATTACTGCTACGAGGGTTTTAGGGTCTTTAAGCCTGTGGGGATTTAGGGATTTGTAATTCTATGCTATATAATACTCTAAAACCAAGGATATTGGGATTCCAAGGATTTTAAATGCCTACAACCTATGGTACAAGGACTCGAGCAGTTTTTGAGCTATGAAATGCTGGGAGCTTAGGACCCAAAACAAGGATTTTAAACGGAACACTGGACATGTTAAAATACCAATCCCCCTTCGACTTCAAATCAGTCATGTTTTAACCCTTGCGACAGTGATTTCCAAACTGTCTTCCCAACAATCTAGGGATCCCCGTGCGTGTCTCACAAAGGAGTGGAGAGTTAGTTTTTACAGGAGAGAGGACAGCAGGATGGGAATTCTGCATTAGCCGTTGTGCCTCCGACCAGGGCAACTCCATCTTCATTTGGTTTGTATATTGGTTTGCTGTACTCAGTTCAAAAGAAGGGTGTTTCTAGGGCACCTGGGTGGCTCAGTCAGTAAGTGTCTGCCTTCAGCTCAGGTCATGATCCCAGCGTCCCTAGATCAAGCCCTGCATCAGGCTCCCTGCTCAGCGGAGAGTCTGCTTCTCCCTCTGCCCGTCACCCCACTCCTGCTCTCTCTCTCTCAAATAAGTAAATAAATAAAATCTTTAAAAGAAGAAGAAGAAGAAGAATTAGAAGAAGAAGAAGACGAAGACAAAGACAAAGACGAAGACGACGACGAAGAAGTGTGTTCCAGCTAAAGCACAAAAAAGAAGTTTTTAAGCCTCTGGCCTAGGAAAAAGGGACCAGAAACCTGCGGAGAGTGGCCCAGAAAGCCACATTTGATCTCTGTTGTGTTTTTTTTTTTAATCAAATACTGCAAAGATTCTTCGACTACTATACCAAATGGTGCCAGAGAAATCAGGTGGATCAGGATAAAGCAGTCATTAGCTGAGTAAACTAGTCATTAGCTGACTCTACAGATAAGCCCATGTCTCCTATAAAATTAATAATAACTGCCACTGAAACTACAATTGCGATGACTACTACCATTTACTGAACACTTTCACTATGTGCCAGGGGCTATGCTAAGTACTTTAACACATATTAACTCATGGAATCCTCACAACAATCCTGAGAAGAAGTATTAGTTTCCCCTTATGACAGGTGAGGAGACTGCGGCTGATTGGACAAGTAACTTGCCCAAGCTCATACGGCAGGCAGACGGTAGAGTCCGCTTTACTTACAAGCCAAAACAGAATGGACTACAGGAATCCAGTGGTCAAAGGTCAACTGTCTGGCAGCCTCCATTAAGGAATGAGGTTAAACTTTGACCAATAGGTGGCACCAGTGTGACCAGTGTGTGGTGTGGTGTGTGTGTGTGTGTGTGTGTGTGTGTGTGTGTGTGTGTGTGAGTTCCGTAGTCTGCTCAGGTTGTCCAAATTCAGGCACTTCCCAGAGAGGGCTCAGAACTGAAGCAGTCCACTCTCAAGTTGAAGGAGGAGAGAAATGGCCAGCATTTTGGGCCTGAATCAAATGATGTCACCCGGTCCTGTTTGTAGCTAAGCAAAGATCCGGGAGACCAGCAAGTGGAGGGACAGAGGCAGTTCCTTAAGAAGACCTGAGAATTTTTTCCTTCAACATTTCCTGGGCATGTCCCTTATACAAGGCAGTGTGCTGTGTGATAAAGTCACATGGGGATATCAGACACAGCCACAGGGGGACAGAGGCAGATGCTATGGTAGAGGAGGTCCTGAATATATGGGGGGACTCCACCTGGACTTGAAGTTCTGGGGAGGCTTCTCACAGGAACGGTGTCTGTGTCTGAACTAGTCCTATTGGCTGAAGGCGAGCTCACCAGACGTACAAAAGGTAGTGAGGCATTCCAGAAAGAGGGTTAAAGCCACCAAGGTGTTCAAAGGCATGACACATTCAAGGATGGGCGCCACAGGCTTCAACTGTCAAGAGACGAGTCTGAAGAGACTGGCAAGAACTAGGCGGTCAAACAGCTTAGAATATCAAATTAAAGGCTTCATTTGTGAATATACGAATAGAGAAGCCATAGATTCTCAAGGGGATCTGTGATCAAAAGAAAAAAAGAACGGTAAGTCCCAACTGTTGGTGAGGCAATGAAGAGCATGGTAGGGCTTTCGGCGGGGCACGCTATGGTCTGATCTCGGGACCAGTGAGTGGGGAGGGCACATTGCGTAGGAAGGCAAGAACATGAGTTGGGGTAATCGGGGCAGGATGGGCATGAGGACCTGAGCTGTGGAAGATACAAAGGGAATCGAGGAGATAAAGTTGACAGGATTTAGTAACCGACCCCTTGAACTCCCTCCCTGCATGCATATCCTCATCTCCAAAGCTCAGCAGAGGCTACACGTCTCACTCCCCACCCCGCCCCCCCGACCCATACTCCCTGCGTTTTGGAGGCCTTTTTGCTCCTTTCCTAAGCTGCTGTTGAAGTTTAATTGAGCCTGACTGATTTCCCAAGTTGACAGAGAAATCCTGGCCCCATGCTGGGTCAGTCCTGCCCTATATCCCCATGGAGTAGAATCTGTCAACTGACCTCAGGTAGGGCAATGAATTGGCCTTGAGCTGTTCTCTGACCCTCTGCCTGTGGCTTCACAACATGGGCAGAGTTCAGTTAAGAAATCTGCACAGTTCCAGGAAAAGGGCACACATCATCTAGCTTATTTTTCTCCTGATTTATTTCATACCAACATACAGACCTCAGTGGATAGCATGCAAAATATATGGAGGTTCTCCAAAGCAAGCTGATTTCCTAGATGCCCCTTTCCTGTCCTGCAAGGCGCCTCAAAGAGGTGCCCCCACTTTGCATGGATCTGATATTGGTGTCTCTGCAGGGGAAGCCAGAAGTCAGGCTTTCTGAAGGGAGGCAGGACTCTGGGACCAGCTGGAATGCTGGGGAGTCAAAGACCCCCTAAAGAGTAACTGGTTCTCTCTGCATAGGCAGGTGCTGTCTTGATCTGCTTCCGAGATGCTTCAGAAAGCAGGTCTTCCCCTAGAGCTCCTTGGACCCTCTCATTGTCAACACCACAGCAACACAGACAATGAGATACCAGAGGCCTGGGCTCACAGGCCAATTGAATACAGCCACAGTGAGCTGGGCGCTCCAGGGCCCAACTTATAATCCAGAAAGCTATATCTGGAGATTCCTGCCTCATTGATGTTCTAGAGCCTTGCCAGTCATACTGAACCCCAATCAGACTCTGACCAGTTCAGTTTGGGCATGTCAGGAGAGGGGAAGGAAGATGAACTGTGGCCGTGTGTGGTGCTGACCTTGGTACCCTCACACACTCTTCTGGCCCCCTTTCCTCTGTCTCCTCTTCCTTGTCCTTTTCTTCTTCTTCCTCCTCCTCTTCGCTGTCTGAGTCCTCATATAGGTTGATGGTTGCCTGGACAGGGAAGTTCTGCAGTAAAATCTCCCCATCACTGTACAGGTAGTCAAAGGAGCGGGATTTAGGCCAGAAGAGCCTGTGGACAGAGAAGAAATATGGCCCCTGACTTAGTTAGGTCTCATACGTGCAGAGAGGCAAGGAAGGCCAGATGGAAGTCAACTCCCAAACTCCTTCTCCTGTCCACAGTAGTGAGGCGAAAGGGAAAAGAATGATTGTAACAGAACTTTCAAAATGGCCCCAGGCAGGAAGGTCATATCTAGTGGGCCTAGAGCTGTGGGGAGCCCCTGCCCCGGCATCTGTCAATTCCAACATTGATCCCACCCTCCCCCCACCCACGACTTCAGAAGTCTTCTAGCCAAGAATTCTCTAGCCCTGCATCCTCCACATCTCATTAAGACTTCCTTTGCTGATGCCACCCATTGGGGCTCATTCTTAGGGGTCACTGACAGATCCTCCAAGGAAGCCAACCTTGGTCAACTCTCTGAACCACCCTGGGCTTCAGTTTCCTGGTCTAAGAAAGAGGGATCCTGGCACTGCCTGCCTCCTCCTGCTCCACAGGGCTGCTCTGAGGATTAGAAGAGCTGACAGATCTACGTCAGGTTCCAAGCTGAGCGCCATAGGCTTACCTGACGGGATGATGGAACTCGGAGTCAGCCTTCGTGACTTCTGCACCTGTTGGACCACCAGTAGCCTGTCCAAAGCAAGAGCTAGCATGTGACTCAAAGCCCATGGCTACACAGCTGCCTCCTCTGTACCAGGGCTCACAACCCTCCCTAAGATGATCTAGAAACCTTAGACATCCCTGGGGGAAGCCCCTGCGCCCCGCCCCCCACAAGGGGCTCTGTCCTTCTGGTTGTAAAACAAATCCACAGAGTCCTGGGGGTTGTTTTGCTTTCCTGTCCCTGTTTTAACACCTGTTTGGAGATTGGCCGGGAGACAGGAGTTCTACTGAGCCACAAAGATTCAGGGGAAGGGGCTTGCAGGGTGAGGCTGCATGCCAGGAGACCAGGATTCTAGCACCAGCTCTCCCACAGGTTAGCTGTGGGGTCTGCCCAAATCCCTCCCCACTCCTGGGCACTCATCTCTTCATCCTTCCCTTTGAAACCCCAGAGAGGCCCTCCTCTCTCAGTCATCGTGATATCAAATGTGAGGGAGGCTGTGGAGAGGCATTCCCACATCCGCAGCCCTGGCCCAAAGGCAGGGATGCTCTGGAAGGGGACCTGCCTGACCACTGTGAACGCACGTGGCTGCCTGTGCATGTGACCGTGGGCCACAGGGGCTCAGACTCACCGAATCCACCAGTCTCCAAACCTGGCTCGACGGGTCACTTGTAGAGGACAGCCAGGGCCTCCAGAGACAAGCTCCTCTAGGACAGAGAGGCAAGATCAGTCCGTGGAGGAAGGAGATGGGAACCTCCGAAGCACTTGGCTCCGATGCCGGGGCTCCAGGCAGGGCCCCTCCCGCCTGCTTGAATAATGTGATCATTGCTCTTGTCAGGCTGTTTTGTAATTATCTGTTTACTCGCTGTTGAGCTTCTTGGGGGCAGACATAGGTGTGATTGCGTCTGAATCCCCAACGCCCAGAGCAATGCCTGGTACACAGTAGGCATTTCACTCAGTGTTTGTTGACTGTTACATGTTTGGAGGAATAAATTAGGGTTGCATGGAAAATATCTGGCCCCTGATCTCCTACTCCAACAAGCAGAACTGAGAGTCCTGTCATCTTCCTGCACTGGGGAAAGTGGCCTGAACTATTCCTGGGCCCACTGCTTCCCCACTAGACTTCCAGAGGTCTGGAAAAGAAGCAAATGGAAATCTTAAGGCCTGGTCAGGAAAAAGACAGCCCCCCCCAACCCCCACCACCAGTCAAAGGCTTCTTGGGATTTTGGCCCTCTTTTACCCACTCTTCAGCCTAGGTCATATGGAAGACATGCACGCAGTGTGGACGTCTCCCCTGTGCTTCTCAATGGACTGAGCCCCTTGGCCCATGAGGCCCTGGCTGCTCAGCTTTTAGCTTTGGCAATGCCTCCGTCCCCAAGTTCCCTCCTGCCACCCAGAGGGATGAGTGATGTGAGAAACCAGTTGAGGCACTCTAGCCTGAGATGTGGAAGGGGCAGTCTCTGGGGGCTGTGAGGTCTTGCCCTACCGCTCCACAGGGAGCAGGGACACCCTGGCCATTCATCCATTTCATTGTCCCAGGACTCCCAGAACCCCACTAAGCCAGAGTTCGGGTCGCCAGAGGCCAAGTTCCACTTACCTTTCTCTGCCACCTACTTGCTGTCCAGAGGAAACAAGGGCCGATGGACTTAATAGGCCAGGGAGTGCCTGGGGGTGCTGCACAGGGGCTGGAGCTAGGACTGGGGCTGGGACAGGGGCAGCAGCAGCAGGAACAGAAGGGTCCATCCTTAGGCGGTCGAGGCCAGGCAGGCCGTAGGGGCTCTCATTTCTCAGAACCTCCTGCATTCTTTTGGCCTTTCCTGGGAGACCCTTTTATAAGGCCTGTCTGGACTCATAAATTATTCAGGGCAGAGCAGGGCTGGGGGACCTGGGAGGAGGGATGAAGATTTAGAACAGGGAGCTCAGGGAGGGGGAGCTGGGTCTCTGGGTGTGAAAACCCTCCCAGTTGAATAAACAGAGTGTCTGTGGGGGGTGAGGGGTTTTCTTTACCTCCAAGTCAGAAAAGAAAACACAGAAGGGGCAAATCACACACCATTTGTGCAAATTCCCCAGGCAGTAACAAGGCTGGAGGGGGGAAAGGAGGGAAGCTCATTAGCACCCCAAACCACAGAAAGCTGTCAGGCACAGAGGGCTGGTGAGACGGGCCTTTGGCAAAGCCAGTTCCCAGCAAAAAGGGACAGCTGACCCGGCTAAGGCAAGCGACGGACTCACACGTTATTTCGGCTCAAAACCCACAAGAGATGTGCCCAGTGGACCCAACAGAGGGTGACTGCCGTTAAGCATGCCACCTGGGTCAGGAAAATAGGAGGTTGTGGGTGGAGCAGATCCAGCTGCCCGTGGAGTCACCCTGGAGCCTTCCTTCCATGCCCTTTGTTTTCTGTGTCGGTTCCTTTGCAAAAGTGCCCAAATCTCCTCTCGCGGCCTCAGCAGTAAGTGGTCTAGTAAAGGAGTGCAGGCAGCATTTCAGGGCTTGGAGGTCAGATTTCAAGTCTCAGAGCTCGACTCCCAGTCCAGAAGCCAGGATGCTGGGGGGAGTGTTGTGGGGGGATGGCGGGAGGCAGGGTCTTTCTGGCCGCTAAACTGCCTCAGAACCATCCCCAGCCCAGGGGCTTTCGTTCCCCTCACATGTGAGACGAGGGTGCAGGGTGCAGGTCCAGTGGCCTCAAGGGGCCTTGCCAGCCTGAACACTCTGTGACGGGGTTGCAGGGTAAAGGGGTACTGACCCCGGGGGCGGGTCAAGCAAGCCAAGCGGCTGCAGCACCGTCTTTAGCCTTAGCCAGCCTTCTGGGCCTTTGCCAAAAAGCTTCCAGTTACAACTGCTGGTGGCCTCCTTGTGCTTTAAAGTCCCGGAATATTTCTCCGGAGCTCAGCATCCAGGACCAGCATGGATTTAGCTTCTTGGGTATTCATCCAGGTCGGATTTTGATTGTCCAAAATTTGAAACAACCTCAATGTCCAATAATAGGAAACCAGCTACATTCATTAGGGTAAGTATTTGCCAGTGAATACTAAGCAGGCCCTCACAATCAGGCTCTAGAAGGATAATCATCAACACAGAAAGTGGGAAAGAACATCAGATCCTAAAATCGTCTGAGCAATTCGATTCAAGGGCTCCTCTTTTCTCTCTTCACCCACCCCCCCCCCACTTGAAATTCCAGCCCCACCGGGTGCTCTGTAGCAAAGGAAAATTGGAAACAATATCAACAAATGCCTCACTTTAGAAAGCTGGCTCAACAACTCCTTGAACAGTGAGACAATTTCACATTCAAATTGGCTTGGGGAAAGAAAACAAGCAGGGTTTTTCCAGGATGCCGTGTTGGGGGGTGGAGGGGGAGACTGCTTGGAAGAAGGAAGAAGGTGACTGCGGTCAGTTCTGGGAATAAGCCTGTGGGAGATTTTTACTTCCTGCTTCGCGCTTTTCTTAACGTCCTCCGAAGTTCCACAGGATCCTGCTGTCCTTTGAGCAAGAGAAAAGAAAGACACGGGAAAATTAAGAAAGAAGGAAATGCTTATCAGGGAGCAGAGAACCCTCTCAGGGGGAAAGGACACTTATTCCGTGGGAGCGAGGCCGAGACCTAGGGCGAAATCTACAAGGAGACGCATTTTGGCTCCATCCAAGGAAAATTTTCTAACAGCCCAGCCACCACCTAACCCAAGGGCCTGGCACGGCCCCAGCCCTCGATAAACAGAGGTTTATTATATGTGTTGAAAGGAGGGCAGTGGCATGTGCTGCCTCAGACCGAGGTAAGCTCTCTGGCCCTGCTTTGTGGAAGCCCAGGCTGGAGCCTGTGTCCCGGAGAGGGGAAAAGGAGGGCTGCTGGGGAAGTCCGAGTTTCTATCAGTCTCTGAGGGTTCTTGCTCAGTTGACCTCCAGAGGATGAGAATTTGCTTGTATGGCTTGGCTTCGCAGGTTCCAATGAGGTGTGAGGCTGAGGGGGAGGATCCAGGTGGAAGAAAATTCTGGAAGGACTGGGGCCTGCAAAGAAGAAGCAGACCTACTGGCACTCCCTGGGAGTTTCTTGACCTCTAGCTGACCATGGCTTCCACAAACAAGCAGGACAGAAGAAGGCTAGGGAGAAGAGGGAGACATGACTCCTGAGCCCAAGCCAACTCAGCTGTGCCACCCATCCCACCACCTCCAACCTTGAACCTGTGTTCATTCAGTCATAGTCCTTCACCGCTGGGGCTGTCCAGCCCCCTCACTCCTCTGAGCAGCCCTCAGGTTTCCCCTCCCAGCATGCTCTTCTGGAGCCCAGGTGGCCTTTAGGCCTGTCTGCAATGGCTCTTTGGTCTCCCCACACGACTGCTCCTCCTGAGAATTGTCACCACCTCATTCAGTGTATGTGAGATGAAGCCCCTGGCCCATCTCAGTGGGCTCTCTCCAGCCTGAAGGATTTAAGGCCTGCAAGCATCACTGGACAAAAGTGGGAGCCTGACTATTTTCCCTTGCAGTCAGCACAGAACAGGAAGGAGCAGGATGGCCAACAGGGTAGTAAGGAAAGGTGTGGAACAACCAAAATGTGTCACATCTTGGCAGGGTGATTATGAGCCTACCTGTGTTTCCCCTGACAGCCCTGTGGTATCTCTGGGCTTTGTCAGTGATTCCTTTGCCAGGTCCTTCTGAGAGGACTGGGCGCCTCCTCTGGGCTACATGGCACTGGGCATTGCCTGGAAAAGGAAGGGACTAGAAAGAGGAAAGTGCTGAGGACACTGCCTCCAGGTGCTTATAGCCTAGGGAGGGAGACAAAACCTGCACAAAGCTAGACAGACTTAGACAACCTCAACTGGGGCCCTGACCCCCTCAGCCACCCTCGAGTGAGTTCCCAGTCAAGCCCCAACTCCAGCCTCCACATTTCCCTGGGCCCCATTCCAAACTTCCTTCAGCTCCCAACCATGTTCCTGCTCCACCCCTCTCCTCCTACTTCCCTGAGAAAACAGAGGCCTTCAAGCATGAATTACCTCAGTGCCCTGCCCCACCCCCCCCAAAATTGGCCGGCCTCTCCAACTTCCTTCCCTTCCAGCCCTCCCTTCTCAGGGGACAAGGTGCCCCTCTTGTTAAAGGCTAATCCCTTTATCTGGGCCTTGGCCTCATCCACCCTCCTTCTCTGAGCCCTTCCTCCAGACATTATTCCCCCTTCTCTTCAGGGAAGTCCAGTTTCTTTGTACTAGTTCTTTCCTTTCTGATTATAAAATGGTGGTCTCTTTTATGCCAGAAAATAAGGCCCCTCCGGCCCCAGATATGTTCTCTTGTTCCCTTAACATGTTCTCCCTATCTCTGTCTCTTTTTCTCTCCCTCTCCACTTGCCTCTCTCTTTTCTTCCCATCACCCTCAAATGTACCTCAACTTACTACAGTTTGGCCCTGCCCCATCTTCCTAGTGAATGGGCACCACCAAAGGTCACCAACAACCCCTTCTAATTGCCAAATTCAGTGATCTCTTTGAATCCTGGATGGCAAAAGACACTAGTGGCCAAGCCCTCTTTTCTTACACCCTCCTTCCGCTCTTGGTTTCCACCATTACTCTCTTGTTTTCTCCTACTTCTGGAACCATTGCTCTTGGTCTCTGTTGCTGACATCTGCCCATTGACCAGACATGTGGTTCTCAGTAGCAGTCCCCGAATTAGGCTGATACACAGTGATGTTTTCAGTTAGTCACAGCAAAATGGGAAAAACATGCAAAGGAGAGCTTTTCAATAATCCAAACTTAGTCACTTATAAAAAAGACTGTCCTTTATTCTGAGACTATGCTCTTCCTATTTGTGGGGTGGGGAAAGCAAAATAGTCTTTCTTTTGTGAAATGATCACAGTGGATATTCTTTTTTTTTTCTTTAACGCTCCAACTTGGCAAACTAAAACGTTGGTTTCTCTATGTCAGTCCCATTAATGTTTGTTGAATGAATCAAAACTTGAGGATGATATTTCCTCCCTGGCAAACCTCTTCCATACCCACCTCAGGAACCAGTATCATATGGGCCCAGTCACGCAAGCAAAAACCTCAGCCATTTCTCCCATCTGTCTTCTCTGGGCTCCCCTGCTCACCTCATTGTTTCTTTGACTGTGGTCTTATCCATCCTCTCTCACCCGGCCACATGAAACAGATTCCAAGGCTGTTTTCCTTTGTCCTTGACTTGGCTCTTCTACTCCATCCTCCCCCACAGCCACCCCAGTGATCTTACTGAAACACACACCTGAGTACAGTCTTCCTGCACTGGAAAACTTCTGGTGATTCCCAGTTGCCCAGAAGAAATATCCAGACCCCTACGAAGGGAGTGACAGCTGAAGCCCTTCACTTCCTGAGCCCGACCTGCTTCTCCTGGTTTCTGCCTCCCGTGGCCTCCATGCACCCTCCACAACAGCTTCCCTTGACTTGACCTCCTCTTTGTAAACAGGCCATGGCCTTTCACCCCTAATCCTTTTGGGGTTTGGGGCCTCTGGAGGTCTTAATCCCACCCTGTGTCAGGCTTATCATGGACAATGTTGTGGGTCACAACTGAAGGTAGGGCTTACAAACCAATGGAGTAGGTCATAGCCAGCATTTAACCAAATGAGCGAATGGCAAAGAGAAGCACGGATCACATATGGTGAAGATGTAGATCATTCTATGCAACTTTTGCTTTTGTCATATGGAGATGGAGATAGAGGTGGAAGCATACACAAACGCATGTACTATGTACACCATGCCGCACAATACATTTCTCGCTGGCGGTCACAGTCACGGTCACCAGATTTGCCCTCGCGCCTACACGTTGTTCGATGATTCACTTAGCGCTGCTCACGTCACAGTC